CTCCCTTACTTCAGATGATGGACAGACATAAACCCCACCTGCTGCCAGACATTCCTGAGCTCTGAACCACCAATCAGCACCTGCCAAATACCCTAAGCCCCCCCCCCCCATTCCTAAGTCCCTAGGTCCCTAATCAATCAGTGTGTGCTGAGTGCCCTAAGCTCTGCCTCCTATCCTTAAAAGTGCTTGTAAGCCCCTCGCTCGCTCTCTTCCCTCCTCTCCGTGGAAGTAGCCGTCAGGGGTACCCTTCCCTCCAATAAAGCCTGTGTGTGTGTCCTGCCATCCCGATCTCCGGTCTAGGTCTACTTCTCTATTTAATCTATCACATGGAAGAGCCAGGACATATAAAAGTAGTGATCCAAGATTGAAGCCTTCTAATCTAGCTAATTCTTTCCTTTGGCCCTTGGTCATTTTCATGCTCACACCCACTATCTATACTCCAAACTGGGAATAGGCATTCAGAAGAGCCTGAAAAGGGGGGTATAGCTCAGTGGTAGAGCATTTGACTGCAGAAGAGCCTGAAAAGGCTATGCCTGAGAGAGTGGGGCACTTCAAGGGGACTTGAGAAAGGAGGCAGTGGAAGAAGGATTAACTTTTTCACTACTTCAGTCTTGTTCTTACTCAGCAATGGTCATTCCAATTTGAGCCATCCTCTTACCCTAACCTCTACTATTAATCTATTGTGACCAATTTGATATTAGTTTCACTGACTACTTTGAATCTATTCAGAAAAGTGGTTTGAGGAAAAGGGGGCCACCATCTGTTCTAGTCTCTGAGGCCCTGGTTCTCCCTCCCCTAATTTTTTAGAAGGGCCGTCGGAAGGCTAAATATAGCCTCAGGGAGCAGATTTCTCAAGGAATTTGGGCTCAGTCATTCTAGAACAGTATAGCTCATTCAGAATGTAACACTTTAAACCTGAGCTCATGGGAAACAGACCCATTGGGCACCCGAAGGCTTACAACAATTTCTATTGGTCACATATGAAAGAAATATCTTGTATCATTTCTTACAGATAATGCAAGCTATCATGAGAATGTGTGAGGGGTGGGGGGTGGAGAGAGGGGACAGGACAAACCCAATCCTGTAGTACTTGGGGAAAATACACATTCCCAGGGGCACTCTGAGGAAAATAGAAGCTTTGGAGGAAGAGGAAAGGACTGCCATGAGGCCTGGAGCAACACTTCCCCTTTCTCCCCCTTCTCTTCCATTATCCAGACAGCAGAGTGTCTCTGAATTGTTGGCTCTAACCCCTGGCAGGAAGCTAACCCATCCCTAAATGCTGCTGGGTGGCAGTACAGAGCTCTAAGTTTAGGAAGGAGGCAGCTATACCAGTGTGTTATAGTCTGTCTCTAACACCAGGTGGCACCAAATTATAACCATAAATCCAAAGAAACCGGCAAAAATGGACCTTGAGAGCCCTTGAACTATTTCCCTCTTCCTTTCTGCTTCTCACGTGGAATTGAATAAGAAGCCTTTCAAATATGGTGAATAATTCTCCTTCAGTGAAAACGCCTGAGTCCTTAACCTAGAGCTACTTCCACCTGAAGATTCCTAGGATTTAAATGAGGTCTTTGTCTCTGCCCTTCCTGGAAACTTAAATTCTCAGTTGCAGATAAGGAAAAATGTGATTTCCTGGAACTTTTTATCCTGGAACTTTTCCACATGCCTCTTGCCTACAGAAGAGTTGTTTTTCTTCAAGGAGGTCAGCTGAAGAGTAACAGACGTGAGACCTGGGAGGCTCTGCTTAAATGCAGGTTTCCTTATGAGGGACTGAATTCTTTAACTTGTTGTGCTGGGGATGACCACGTCTACAAAAATTGTGATGTCCTGATGAACAAGAACAGACCTAGAGATAAGGAGTCATGGGTCAGACTGTTGGACCTCAAAGGGAGGGTGGGGATATAAGGGAGAGATCAACCAAAGGACTTATGTGCACACTTATGAGCCTAACCAGTGGTCAAGGACAATAGGGGGGTGGAGACATTGGGGGGGGGGATTGGGATGGGGGGTTGAGGACAAATATGTGATATCTTAATCAATAAAGAAATTAATTTAAAAAATTGTGATGTGGCTGACCAGCCTCATGGTCTCTTACAGGTAAACAGGATTGCTTCCAGCACCTGAAGCGCTCCAATAATTCCATTCCTAGGTTCCTCCACCTGGAATGCTGTCCTTTCTCAGCCATTTCTGTTGGATCCATGCCCCTTGTCAAGGAACAGAGCTCCATGGAGCCTTCCTTAATTTCCCCCAGTTTGAAGGGACCTCTCATTCTTCCAAATTACCGGTACCACAATTTGTCCTATTTTTCTAATTTATATTATAATTATTTTGTGAATATATCTCCTCTACAAAAGAGCTACCCAAGGAAAAGGACCATATCTCGCTTATCTTTTTTCTTACGTACAGCTTATCTACCCTTTTCCTCCCTCCTTATACCCTATATTGGTGACATTGTGGGCATTCAATAAATAATAATGATGTGTTACATTTGTATGGTGCTTATAGTTTACAAAGCACATTAACATCCATTTCCCCATTTAATCCTCACAAAAACCCTGTGAGGTAGGTGTTACCATCCTGGTTTTATAGATAAGCAAACATACTCAGAAAAGTTAAACAACTTGTCCAAGGTCATACAGCTAGAAAGAAGCAGAGATGGGTATGAATGCAAGTTTTCTGACCCTAAATTCAGTTCTTGTAACTTGCTAGTTGCAAATTCCTTCAGTTCTTGTAACTTACTTGAGCTGCTGGTTGCAAATTCCTTCATGGAGACGGAAGCATGGGATTCATCATGGGAACTGAGGTCAAATTTCTCTCCTCCCCTCTCTGCTCCCTTACCTCTCACTCACTTGCTTCCAAAGAGGATTTCAGAATACAATCTTATTTTGTTTAAGAATGTCCTGGTGTGAGATGCCCTTATAGATAAGAAGGGAAGATGTGGGGTGTGGACAGGACAGCTGGTGACTAATGAATCTTTGTCAGCCTGGAGGGAGGTCCCTGACCTGTCCAACAATTTAATTAACAACCTGGATCAGGACATTGAGGGAATGCTGATCAAATCTGTAAATGACATGAAGCTGGTTTCTGGAAGACCCCAAGAGACCATAGTGAACTGGGGAAATGAAATATAAAATTTCATCGTTGAGTTTGTCAAGACCAAATGCTTGAGTGCAAGGTAGGAGAGACATGACTTAGTAAAGACCTGTGTGAAAAGGTTTCAGGTCTTGAGGTGCCTGTAAGCTCAATATTTTTTATACCAACTGCCCCAAATGCTAATGCATTTGGTGCTAGGATGAAGGAGGTTACAGTTGTGTTCTCTTCTCTGTTCATTAGACCACAGTGGAGGACTATCTTTAGCCTTGAACACCACACATGAATGGAGGCATTAGCAACATGGAGCATGCACAGAAGAGTGAGACAAGAAGTGTGAGAAGACTTAAAAATCCTTGTATATGAGCTACTGGGGCTGTTTAATGTGGAGAATGGATCAACATGGTGATGCTGTAGTTTGGATCCAATTTTCAAATATTGGAAGGTTCATAATATTGTTTTGTTTTGTAAGAGGGAGCCATCAGGAGCAAAGGGCAGATGCTATGGGAAAACATATTTAGACTCAAACTAAGGAAGAACTTTATAATGATTCAAGATGACCAAATATTATGCAATAGTTTACTCTGAAAGGACAAATTTTCCCATTACTGGAGGTATTTAAGCAGATACAAGATAACTATTTTACAAGGAGGTTGCAGAGGGAAATTAAGCATCAGATCACCAGGGAGGGAAATTAGGCAACCATCAAAGCTACTTTCGACTGTAATTTTGGGATTCAAGGAGGGCTGGAGGTGAAAATAGTTGTAGCCCTCAGAATAGGTACCTCTTAACCAATTATTATCTCTGCTTTCAGTCTCTCCTCCTCCAGCCTACCTGCATCTAGGCTCCAGAAATATTTTCCTAAATACTTTACCATGAGACCTTCCAGCATCATAGAATCTCAGTAACCCTAGATAGTCATCTGGTTTGGTCCTTTATCAGATGCTTTCATTGTCTTTGCATCATCCACATGGAGTGGTTGTCCAGTCACTGCTTGAATATCTCTAATGATGGAGGGCTGCTTACCTTTATGGGCAGTCCATTCTAATTTCAGAGAGTACAACTAATCATTAGAAAGTTTTTCCTAAACACAGCGGAATGCTTATATTGAGATGAAGAGATTAGGAATTTTTAACTTTATTTTTATTGTTCACACTATTACAGATGTCCCCATCCCTCTTCCCCCTTTGCCCACCTCCATTCAGCTCCCGCTCAACCTCCCTCTGGCCATTACCACACTATTGTCTGTATCTATGGGTTATGTTTATATCTTTCTTGGCTAAACACTTCACCTTTTTAAAAATATATATATATATTTATTGATTTTACACAGAGAGGAATTGAGAGGAACAGAGAGTTAGAAACGTCGATGAGAGAGAAACATCGACCAGCTGCCTCTTGCACACCCCCTACTGGGGATGTGCCTGCAACCAAGGTACATGCCCTTGACCGGAATCGAACCGGGGACCTTTCAGTCCGCAGGCCAATACTCTATCCACTGAGCCAAACCGGTCCGGCCACTTCACCTTCTTTTAACCAGTTCCTCCCCTTCCTCTCTGACAGCTGTCAGTCTGTTCCATATATCCATGCCACTGTTTTTATTTTGTTTGTCAGTTTATTTTGTTCATTAGACTGGTGCAGCCACTGTAGAAAACAATATAGAATTTCCAAAAAATATTAAAAATGAAACTGCTGTTTGACCCAGCGATTCCACTTCGGAAATATAGCCAAAGAAATCTGAAACACCAATCAGAAAGAATATATGCACCCTGTGTTCATAGCCATGTTATTTACAAAAGATCTGAATTTTCTTCTTCTCTGTTTTGGAAAATGTTGATAATAAATTTTTAAAGGACTTCAAGAGGCTGGAACTATGAGCTGAAACTTTTATTATAATTTTTTTTCATTATATTATAAAAAAGAAAGCAACTTCCTTATGTCAAACCAAAATCTGTTTTCCTACAAGTCCCACCCATGAGATCTTGGAGCTCTTGGAGATATATACAGAATAAATCTATAGCTTCCTCTTCACCATGAACCCAGTAATGAATTTTTGACAGAGGACAAATTTCTCCTGGGATTTGCCAGTCCCTTCACTATTCTCTTCCTCTGGATATACTTTTGTTGACATTTCCTTTGAAGTGTGATGCCTGCAACTGAACAAAGGGCCTCAGGTGTGGTCTGACCAGTGCAGAATACCACATGATGGTCACCTCCTTTATTCTGGACATTATACTCTTATTAATGCAGTTCAAGGTCACAAGACATTCTGTAGGAACCAAACTACACTTTTTAAAAAAATGTATTTTTTAATTGATTTTAGAGAGGAAGAGAGATAGAAATATCAATGATAAGAGAAAATCGATTGGCTTCCTTGACTACTGGGGATTGAGCCTGCAACTTGGGCATGTGCCCTGACCAGAATCAAACCTGGGACCCTTCAGTCCACAGGCCAACACTCTATCCACTGAGCCAAACCAGCTAGGGCCAAACTATGCTTTTGACTCACGACTCATGATAAAACTTTCATTTACTTAAAAACCCTCTAAGCCACATATCTCACATCCTACACTGCTACTATTACATTTTGAAATTCAAATGAGTGACTTTATACTTGTTCCTATTAACTTTCTTGTTTTTCACAGACTAATATTTATTGGAATAAACTTTATATATGTACATTTTTATTGAATATCTGTCTTATCTGTGAGGATCAAGTCCACGTCCATCTTACTCACTATTGTCTTTCTAGTTCTGAATACAGAATTGATAGTCAGTTCTGGTGAGTTCGTTGTAACCCAGAGGTCCTGGGGTTCTCCATCTTCCAGTAATGATTACATTGCAATTGTTGAGCTCTTTTAGTTGATCCACCGGAATTGCAGTCTTGTGCCAGGCTGCCCTCCCCAGGTATTTCTGGAGGTCCCTGAGGAAAGCTTACATGTTTCCCATATATGTTCTAAGGGTCTTCCTCTGGGCTCTTGCTCCTAAGTTTTCTGTGGGACATCTTTTACTGCCTTAGCCCTAAACCTTTTTATTGGATACCCAGAAACCTGGAAATAAGAGCAGGAAAATGTATCATAGGAAGGTTATATCCCTGTTATGTTTCATTTTGCTATAGTGAGTCCATTATATCAGCCTCTGGACATCTCTATGAATTCTGATTCTGACATTTTGGTTTTCTCTCCCACCTGTGTGTAATATTAAAATTTGATCTAGAGACATTAAAACACAACCTTTTTGTGCGTAGTCATTCGATTGGTTAAGAATCTGCCCACACTTAAGTTTATCCACCTCATATTTCTGCATATTGTCCCAAGAGTATCATAAGATAATGTTTTGTTGAACTCCAGATACACTGTAGGTATAGCATTCTCCTCATCTACCTCTCCAGTCACCCTTTCAAAGGAAATGAGCTGAGTAGGGGATGATTTGTTTTTCCTGAATCCATGCAGGGGCGGAGCAATCTTCACTTCCTTTTGCAAGTGCTCACCAACCATACTTCTACTCATTTGTCCTAGGCTCTTGTCCTCAATCAATATTAAATTTATTGATCTATAATTTATGGAATTCATCTCTTCCTATTTGTAAAACTGTGGAGCCATGTTTGCCTATCTCTAAATTGCAGTATGCATCTTCTTCACTTTCTATGAGATTATAACAGCTACCAGCAGTTGTCCTGCAACCTGAGCTGGAAGTCCTCACAATGCTCTGGGCTGTTATTGATCCAGAGTATGAGATGAAATTACTCAGAGCAGCTAAAGGCTCTTTTGGAATAAACTGCCTTTAGGAGCCTCTCTGGGGTACTCTCTGTCCTTTCTACTCTAGAAATCCTTCTCCTCACAGAAGAGAAAAGCAAAAGAGGAACCGAGGAGGTTTTGTTTTCTCTCTATAAAACCATTAGCAAAAGGAAAAGTCAGGGCATCCCATCACTCATCCAATAGCACCCAAACTCTTTTGCTGTTACAAAGACTTCCACAACCTGCCTTTCCAATCTGATGTCCAATTATTTAACTTGAACCCTTTACTTTAGTCAGGTCAGTTCCTCACTGCAACTTCAGCATATCTAGACCTTCTGATATGGTTGTTCTGGCTGAGTCTTTTCTCCCAATTTGGAATGCCCTCTATGTCCCCCTAAAGTCCCCGCCCCCGCTTGCCTTGCAATTTTTCTAGCCCCTTTAACCTTTTTTGAAGCCACATGCTAAATTATGCATTTCACTCATTTTATCATAGTTCAGTTTTGTCTTACTGATAGTATTCACCTCAAAGCAGGCATCTTCTATCCCTCACAGTATGTGAACTAGTACAGGGCCAGGTGTATAGTCTTAACAATCATACTTGCTTTCTATGGAGATTTTTTACAGTGACCAATATCTGGCTTTTAACACCCACCACAAATTTAGACCTCAAGATAGCTTTCTTCAGCTCCCAAAAGGACTAATACAGAAACCAGATAAATCTAGGAATGCAGGCTGGATCCATTGATTCTAGGCACTAATGATTTTTGCAATGGGAAATAAAATCCAAGTATATCTTCAGCCCCTCTCCAAACAAAGAGCTGGGTTTTTTAGCTGAGATCAAGGCTGGCTGTCAGTAATGGGTCTAAGAACCCTCAAGTTACCCCAGCATAGCACTGACTACAATTTAATTGAAACCCTGCCTGTCTTGAAGGCCACTTCTTCCACCCAGACCTTTCAAAGGTATGAAGATCAACTGTAATCTCTCACTGAAATAGAATTGGAGCTGGGTTTGCTAATAGCACCTTGAGTTATTAGAGGAGAGGCAATGTTTAAATCCTACACAAATAGAGAGCCTCTTAATTTGGAGAGCGTGCGCACGCGCACGCATGTGTGTGTGTGTGTGTGTGTGTGTGTGCACACACACACACACACATACACACACACACCCCAGAAGAGAGGAGGTCCAGTTTGGTAATATCTGAGATGGAGCAATCAAAGGATTATAAACACAAAGACTCTGAATTGACCTAAAAAGGTCATGTCACTCAGCCCTCTGGTTTCAGGAAGATGAATGCCAGTGTTTTCCTTAGTAGTAGTCTTTCATTCAATTTGCAACTGTTTTGGAGAACTTACTGAGTACCATGATCACCTCATATCCATATAAAAAATTTTTCCTTATATCTAACAATCTTTCCCCCTCTATCATTGTCAGAGGAAATGGCAGCTTTGTCCTTATTTAGGAGTTAACTTTTTAAAGATATAACACACTTGTCACATAGTAGGTGCTCTACAATTATTTAATGTTTCCTCATCATGTTTCTCCTTTCTAAATTAAAAAACAACACGCTAGTCTTTTGGCACATTGTTTTTGCTCTTCTCCAGACCCTCTCCAGCTTTTCCACATATGCTGAAAATGTGTTGACCAAGGGCAGACACATTAATGTTTTAAAAGGCATAACCAATGCTAGGCAGAGGGAAAAAAAAGTTGAGGACCATGGGAAAGGTCACATATTTCTGGACTGCACTCCATGTCTGTTTCTAACACTGACTGTGACATTGGACTTTTCTGGGCCCATTTTCCCAACTGTAAAATAAATTTGTTGGACCAGATGACTCTGAGGATACTTCTAATTCTAAAACTCAGAGCCTGGTTACCTCCCAGCCACTTCATGCAATATTTGTGTTATTATATGCTAGTGTGCATGTTAGTTTGGGAAAGAAGAGAGGAAGGAAAAAATGGAGAGAGTAGAAACAAATTCTACACTATGAACTCATTCAGCTGTGACCCACCCTGACACTCTGTTTCCAGTTCTTTCTTTCTTTCTGTGTCAAGTCAATAATCGCCCATCTCTCTTTTGGTCCTTATACTACCTTGTGTTCATCTCCTCTGTTCACCTCCCTCATTTTTGTCAGGGTCACTTAGAAGAATTATATTCTTTGTTTCTGAGGTATCAGCAACCCCACCCAACTGTCACACTTGATGAGCTGGTTCAGCCCTTCAAGTCATTGAGAATAATATGAAATACTATAATGCTAACCCTGTAGAACCTCATTGAATTTGTCCCCCAAGGTTGATTGAGAGCCACTGATGATAATCCTGGAGAGAAACTGCTCCCAGGGCCCCAAAAAACTTCTCCAATTCCAATGAACAGAATAGGACCAAGCATCTCTGGAGAGTGGAGGGCCCTTGCTCTGTCAGTCACCCAAGGCAAGAGAGTCTACAGACCTGATGCCTCACTGGATTTAGATAAGTGTAAGAATTTCAACATGTTAGAGGTCAAACCTCCTCCTAGTCCCCAGTCCAGGATGAGGGCAGGGTGGTGGCCCTGGTGGTAGTTGGCAGCACTGGTGGAGACGGCAGCAGCATGATGGCATGCAGAGGAGAAAGAAGTGTTATTTTTTTCTATTTCATTAGGAGGCCCTGAGGCACTAAAAGAAGGCTTCAGCAGCAGGAACCCATTGCCCTGGGGGGTGGGAACAGCAACCTGATGAAGACTGGAGAGGCCTTCATGCGGGTCCAGCAGAGCACAGCCCAGACATGTATCAACTTAAAGGCACAGGAGGCAGAGAGCTGCTGTGATTCCTAGCCTGCAGAGGCACCCAGCTGGGAGGTCTGTTGGGGCAAGGCCTGTGCAAGGGAGGCAAATTGGGAGTGCTAACTGGATTTTTTATTTTTATAACAAGACACTCTGTTTAAAATTTTACAAAGGACAAACTCCATGGGTTTCTGTTAGTGTTTTAAGAACTTTTCTTAAAAAAAAAAAAAAAAGCCAACAACAACAAAAAACACTGCCTTTTTGAAAGAGAAATGACAGACACAAGAGACAGTAAATAAAATGGGGTGAATTTCTGATGGCATTACCCCGAGGACAGAGGCATGAACTCCACAGAACCTCATTCTCCAAGTCTACTCTGCAGTCTGCAGCCCTTCACGGGGACACAGAGATGGCTGGAGAGTTCTCCCTATGGCCCTCCAGCCCCATCCAGTGATAGCCCCTTCTTCCTTCCAACCTGTGGTCTTACTCAAATCTGTTTCTTTCTTGGGGGTCCTGTTCCTTGGTTGGACCCTGTGATCACTGGAGCCAGAAAGACCTGGGTCTGGGGCCCTCCCTTCTGGAGCTTCTTTGCATTCACAGGTTGGAGAAGGATTTGTTCCTTTTTTTTTTTTTTTTTAAATCAACAAAAACAAGATCAGAAAAAAAAAAGATCGAGTCTAGGGGAGAAAGAGCTACTCTGCTCTTTACAGCTCCCAAGTCTGGAGTTGGTTGGTGTTGCGGTTCCAAGAGAGGCGGAGGGCGAGCACCAAGGGGGTGTCCAGCTGGTGCTTTCAGGCCCCCAGGAGTGTCTGTGGTCAGGCTCAAGGAGCTGGCTTCAGCTGCTGTCCCACGGGTCCTCAGTTTCCCAAGGACTCAATTGCGTCCCCATTTGGAGGGCTTGTTTAGGTTTACTTCCTTATTTGTGTTTTTGTACATGCGGGTGCATGTCCACGTCTATCTATGTTTGTGCAGGTGGGTCTGCTGTTGGGCGTGGGTGCGTGCGTATACATATATATCTGTATGTGTCTGTGTGTGTGTGTGTCTGTGTGTGCATGTGTGTGCGTGGATCTGGGAGGAAGGGAGCCAGGAGATAGGCTGTGCTCTGGGCTGGAGCTATACCCGGGTAGTGGAGTGTGAGTGGGGCAGCCCAGTACTGTTGAACCCTGCGGCAAAGGTGTTATAGGGGTGCAATGTCTGCAGCCCTACCAGGGAGTTGGGAATCATAGTAATGGTGTTGGGGGTCATGAGTGGGATGTCATCAGGGGAGCGCCGCAGGGTCAGAGTGTAGTCGGGCAGCGCAGTGAGGCGCAGTGTGTCATGTGGGGGACCGGCCTCACACTCATGGTGGGTGGGGCCCAGCTGTAATGCTGCCAGCTCCTCTTCAGGAGCAGCTCCCAATTCGGGGGCCCCAGCTCCCCTCTGAGGGCTAGGCTGCCGCAGGGGTTCCTGACGTCGTTTGTCCTTACGGTAGTAGAGGGCAGCGAAGGCCAGAACATTAAGGAACAGAAGGGAGGCCCCCACAGCGATGGTGACACTTAATTCAGTGGAGTAGTCACGAGGGTTCTCCACCAAGAGTGGCCCTGCATTCTGATCCCCATTCCAGGACCCTTGGGCATTCTCATTGCTATAGGCAGGGGAGATGGCTGGCCGTTTGGTGCTCCAGGTCTTACCGTTGGGCCTTCGGGTGATGTGGGAGCTGTGGGTGGTATCCAAGGGTGGCACTTTGGTGGTTGTGGACGTATAGTGGAACATATCATGCAGGTTGTATAGGTGGGGCACCAGGTGTTTCCAAAAAGCCACCTTAGTGGCCCGGTAATGATCTCGAACCCTCGGCTTCAGCCCGATGTGAAGGTAAAGCTGGTCTCGGGGATTGTATTTGGACCAGGCCACTTCCTCAAAGCGGTTGGCCTTGGTGTGAATAAACTTGGTGTCCTGGGGGACCGGCTTGTTGGGATCCCTGAAATACCACATGAAAATCTGGGGTCACCAATCTACCTAGATGAAGAAAGGTCCCAGCTTTCTTCCTCTCACACCCATCCCTAAGAACCTCCTCTCCAGTCTAAAACTTCCCACTATTTCCATCTTTTTCAGGGTCCTCCCTTTGCCCATACTCCTCTTCCCCAGCCTTGAACTCCTATTGCCCACAGCATCATGGAATAATCTCATCCTTCTCTGTGCCCCGTGGTCGGCAAACTGCGGCTTGTGAGCCACATGAGGCTCTTTGGCCCCTTGAGTGTGGCTCTTCCACAAACTACCACGGCCTGGGTGAGTCTATTTTGAACAAGTGGCATTAGAAGAAGTTTAAGTTTAAAAAATTTGACTCTCAAAAGAAATTTCAATAGTTGTACTGTTGAGATTTGGCTCTGTTGACTAATGAGTTTGCCGACCACTGCCTGTGCCCATCCTGTAAGATTATGCTATGCCACTTTTCCTTTTCACATGCTTCTGAGCATCCATCAATCTTTTCAGCTGCCCAATTTTCGAAAGAGTCTTTAAAGGCTCTTTCTGAATGTACTTTACCCCTACTTCACACAGCCTCTGGCCATTTAACCTTGCATCCCATAGTTTAGTCAATGACTCTCATTCCTGCTCAGTACTAATGTTAACTGAGCTGTGAGCCTAAGCAAAAATTTTAAGGAAAGGAAATGGCATGAAAGACTCAAAAGAAGAAAGTACGAAGGGTTGTGTGTGAAAGGGTTACCAAGCAAGACTTGGAGAATACTTTAGAGAGATGATGGAAGTGGTTTAGATAGAGCAGAGGGGAGGGCATGCTGGGGTCCCAAAAAAGAACCCCCACGTTCTCCTTACCCGGTCTTGGCAAAGTTGGTCCAGTAGGTCATGACAACAGCACTGAGCATAACGTCATTCTTGGAGAAATTGCAGGGGAAGAGGTCAGTGGGGCCCACCATAGGGACACCGAAAACATAGGGTACTTCGTCCCCATGAGCTGCATCTGACCAAGCAGGCTTCATGAGGCTCTGGCAGTGATGGTAGAAGGCGTAGAAGTAGGTAGGTGAACCATAGCGGGCGTGCAGATCAGCTGTCACCACTGAGGGCTCCACCCACTGGTGGTCAGTGAAGAGTGCCACCAGTGTTTTACGGCGGGTCTCAGGGTTGTCACGGTCTGCCCAGTCTGTGTACATAAACTTGATGGTCTCCCGCAGGGTATCCTTACCCTCAGGATATCCATATAGATTGTCCACAAAGTTGGAGACGGAGTAGTCAAAGTCAGTGCCAGAGACACCATCCTCAGGGTCCACCACCCCTTCCACAAACTTGAGCCCCTCGCCCTGGTTGACACCTAACATGATGTCATAATTGAGGAACTCACCCTGTTCCATGAGAATCTCAGGGTCATCAGGAATGACATCACCATCAATCACAGGGCCAAAGGCCACATGGTAGCGGGCTGGCTGGATGTCCTGTTCTACTAGCTCCTTGGCACTCTTTTGCCGAAGACAGTCCACCATATCCACTGTGTCTAGCACATTACAGCCCACCTTGTCTGCCAGGAGGCTGGTATACTTTACTGGTTGGTAGTTCACAGCCCAGCTGGATAGAGCAGAACCACTTTGGATGATGGCCCTCTGAAAAAGCCCTAGAGAAGATAGGCAACACCAGGTCAGATCTGTCTTGTCACCCACAGCCCAGGCCTCTCTTGCCTGTCTCTGAGGGACAAATCAAACATCTCCTGTCTCTGAGGGACAAATCAAACATCTGCCCTATGATTGAATGGGCTAGAAAAGAGGAAAAATCCTTTGGGCTGGGATGATTGGTGAGGACCAGAGGAGAGGCTGCTGGGTCCCTTCCCTGACTGCTTCTTGCTTCCTTGTCCTGGGCAATGGTTGGTAACTTGGGAGTTAAGGACATGCCAGGAAGAATTAACCCCTTGGGTCCCAGACATCAGCTTCCTTATGTTCTTTCTTTTTATCTCTCCTTGTCTTCCACTCATGCTTCCTGCCCAGCTGGGCCCAGTTCTGTGCCAGCGCACCACCAGGGAGCTGGCGCTTCCACTACAAAGGGGTCTTTTTTATGAGAGATGAGAAATGCAAGCAGGAGAGAGCCTCACATCCTGGGAGTTTGGGGAAAGATTTCGAGGGCAAAGGTCTTGGGATCTTTCAGTCTCCAGGGAATGTGCCCTCCCAGACCATAGTGTTCATAGAGACTTTCCTTTTCTTAAAGCTACTAAGGCCTCAGATCCAGATTTTTCCCCTAGTTGGTAGAGAGCCAGTCCCCCAAACTGAAAAATGAATGATTCTTTCCTAAAAAGGGGAGTGGGTATCATTCTCTCCCTGACCCCAACACTGCCAAAGTATAATCTGGTCCTCGGGCACACAGTTTCATTCCTCTAAAACTATGGTCGGCAAACTGCGGCTCGCGAGCCACATGCGGCTCTTTGGCCCCTTGAGTGTGGCTCTTCCACAAAATACCACGGCCTAGGCGAGTCTATTCTGAAGGAGTGGCGTTAGAAGAAGTTTAAGTTTAAAAAATTTGACTCTCAAAAGAAATTTCAATAGTTGTACTGTTGAGATTTGGCTCTGTTGACTAATGAGTTTGCCGACCACTGGTCAAAGAGAAAGACAGTTTGCATGGGCAGAAAGAGGGGAAGAGAAATACAGATGACAACTTAAGAGACAGCCTCACTTTTTAAAAGATTATTCTTCATGAGTCAATTACAAAAAGGCAGAGAGGACAACTCTTTAAAGCAGCCAGACCTCCAGGGCCTGCTAGGAGACAGAGTATAGCACCATTCTGAGGAAGAATTTTTCCTCCCTGTGAAATAGTCCCCAACCAGAGGAGATACTATTCGTTCCTCTTTTCAGACAGAGGCACCCTCACAGCCAGTCACTTCACCCATCTTTGTGGAAAAGGGACTCCTGATTTAATTATAATCACCTAGAAACACATTCTAAGGTAGGATGCAGATCCCAGCTTAGACTTCCCTCACCAGGGTAGTTCCTAGAGGGATAGAGGATTTCTAGGTCTCTCAGAGCAGGTGATTTTTCTCTCTCAGAGAGACAGGCCTTCTTCAAAGAGAGACTGAAAGTCTTATGAGAATATCACTAACTCATGGGATTGATTTCAATGAAAAAAAAAATCTTCTCTCACCCTAACCAGTTTGGCTCAGTGGAGAGAGCATAGGCCTGTGGACTGAAGGGTCCCAGGTTCAATTCCAGTCAAGGGGATGTGCTTTGGTTGCGGGCAGATCCCCAGTAGGGGGTGTGCAGGAGGCAGCTGGATCAGTGTCTCTCTCATCGATGTTTCTAACTCTCTATCCCTCTCCTTTCCTCTCTGTAAAAAATCTAATATATATATATATATATATATATATATATATATATATATATATTTTTTTTTTTTTTTTTTTTAAGTCTTCTCTCACAGATTTCCTTACTTCAGAGAAAGGCACCTTTACCTCTCAGAGATAGACTGTGCTATAGCCCAGAGGTGATGAGAACATTTTCTGTGAGAACAAAAGGGCCTATTCAGCCCCCTTGGAAGAGTTACTGGCAGAGGGACACACAGCAAGGAGAGAGGCTTTCCTTGTGGCTAAAATGAGAGTTTCCCTTAGCAGGGCTGTACAGCCTGCAAGGAGGTCCGAGTTTGATGATAGGTTTCTATCCTCAGAAAAAGCCTGCCCTGCAGGTTAGCAGTTCTTACCTGGGACCTATCTCCCCCCTCAAGGACAGATCCCTTCTTGTACAGACTTGTTCGTCAGAAAGAAAACCAGAGAATGAGTATTTCTTACACCTAAAAACTAATTTCCACCCTAGAGCTCTACCTTGCAATCATGAGTCCTTCCCTAACTGAAAGATTCCTTGCCTCAAAAAGAACTCCTGTCCTTTCAGAGAGAGGCAATGTTTCCTACTCACTGAAATAAGACTTCGATGTCAAAAGGGGATGTAAATGGGATTCCTTTTTCAAGCTGTAAGTGGGATGCTCTCCTCCCCTCTCTCCCATTGGGAGAATTCCATCTTCTTCTAGTGAAACATTTCCCATCAGCTTCTCCCCAAAGGTATACTGAGCTGATAGAAGAGGGTGGGCTGATTCTCTTGGTGCTCCCGGGGCATAGAGCTGGGCACTCTGGTGCAGGGTAGCCAGCACTTTGCTAGTTCATATTTGCCACCAGAGCTACTCACCCTCAGAATGATGTGACAACGTGAGGAGGCTGACACAGGATGCTCCGATGCCTGAGCCAAAGACTGTGATACGACGGGGATCGCCACCGAAGAAGGCAATGTTCTCACTCACCCAGCGGAGCGCCTGAATTTGGTCAAGGAGCCCATAGTTGCCCTTGGCAGCCTGATCTCCAGTGCTCAGGAAACCTGGATTCAACAAAGGACATGAGGACAGTGAAGGCGGAGAGATGAAGGACCTGCAGTACGATGGAAGGGGCTGTGAGGACAGAACATGAGCATGCAGCATAGTTCTATCCACCTAACTAGTATAAAGCAGAGCTCCTTTCTGCAAGGTCCAGCACCATCAGTACAGGAAGGGTTGGCTCCCTGCCTCCCACTCATTCTCCAGTTTGGAAGGAGGGATCTTCAGACCATTATAAGGGGATGCCTCCAGTTGGGAGACTTAACCTGCGGGAACTGCAAATGGCCAGGACCCAGCATTCTCTGCCCTGATGTACTATTCTGGTCATGGGTATAACATCTGGCAATATAGAGTGGAAAAATCAGGGACCCTGGACTCAGTCCTTGGTTCGAGTCCTGGCTCTATCTCTTACAAATTATTTAACATCTCTGGGCTATAGCTTCTTCTGTAAAATGGGGATAAAAAATACTCTTTGTTGTTACAAGGAAAAAAAGGAACATAAATAAGCATAACTAATATGCTCAGCATATTGTAAATCTGTGGTTACTTCTTTTCCCCCTTCCTTCTCTCTCTGAAGAAAGTGAAGATTCTAAGAGGCAACAACCCCTAAGCTCTCCTTGCCCTTCCTGTACAGTTAGTCCATCTCCACTTCTTTCCAGGGCCTCAGATGTTCCCTTCCCCTCATTCTCAGGACAGGTCTTCGTTCCATTCTTCTAATGAGTCAGAAACTCTGGGGATGGGATCCATCAATCAGCATTTTTAACACACTCTCCTGATGATTCTGATGCCTGCTAAAGTTGAAAAACCACTGGGTTAGACCATTTTTTTCATCTGGTGGAGAAATCAGGGAGTCAGTGCAGTGCATTACCACAGAAACAGGTCTTCCCGCCCACCCAGTGAAATTTGCTGCCAGGAGACATGTCACCATGGAAACTACCTTCCCACCCACCTGCTGGGATTTGCTGTTGTGGTTACTTGTTGCCATGGAGACTACCTTCCCACCCACCTGCTGGCTATTCCACAGAAATGTCCTATATCTTCCCCCTCTCCCATGTCTTCATTTCAGATGGATTCTGCTGCCTCATTTCATCCCTCTTCCTGATCTCTAGGCTCCTTGGGGCTCTATCTTCTCCCATCCTAGACTTTCAGAAGGGTTCTTTCCAGGTGGAACTTATGAAGCTCCTACATATTGGAAACCCATACTTGGATCAGCATTTCTTAAAAATGTTTTTATTGATTTTTAGTGACAGAGGAAGGGAGGAGGAGAAGGGGGAGAGAAATAGAAACATCGATGAGCGAGAAACATAATCGATCAGCTGCCTCCTGCACACCCCATATTGGGGATCCAGCCTGCAACCTGGACATATGCCTTGACCCGGAATCAAACCAGTGACCTCTTGGTGCATGGAATTACACTGAACTACTGAGGAACACTGGCCAGGCTGAGTTAGTATTTTTTAAACCCCACCATGAAAAGCTCATTCACAGTATCTGGCATCATCTTTATGAGAGGCCATGTTTGAGGAGGTGCCCTCAGCTCACAGAGAGCTCCCTGGCAGTCCTGAAAGTCCATGGGCAGAAGCTGAATTCAAAAGACTCAGTAAGGCACAAGAATTCCTCAGCGTCTTTCTCAAGTCCTTCTGTCTCTAGCTTCTGCAAGAGAGCTCATTTCACCCTCTTCAAGTTATTAATTTACCTTTGGTACAATTAAGTATGTAAAGTACTTAGTTATTCCTCGCAGGACCTAATCACAAGCCCTCTTCAGCCCCAGGTTCCCGATGAGGAAATGAGAAGGAATTAGAGAAAGCCTGGATGAGGATAAATGGAGGAGCGCTTATTCTTCTAGACAAGGGGACCAGCTCCTCCTTTGCCAGGCCCATTCACAAACTGAAGCTGCTCCTGCGAGTCTTAAGAAGTATGCTGACCAAGATTTAACCCAGCTATCCAAACCTTGAGGCCCTCTGGCAAAAATCACTATGTACTTCTCTTAGCCTGCTTGTCTTCTGCCCCTCCTTTCCCCCAATCCTCTTTCCCATTTCTCTCATTTGGGCAACAGCAGATTTGGCCTTAGCCTTTGTCGAGGAAGGTATCATTCAGTGAAATGTGTCAAATACATCTGTCCCGATCATTAGGAAGAGCCTGCATTTGGATAAAGTAAAGTAGATTGCTCCAACATGTACCACTTTCCTAGGTTAGAAAGGGCTGGGTGGAAGGTTTGACCATCACTCTTGGCTCCCTGGGATCCCAAGAAACTTGGGATAAAAAGATCTGCAGCATGTGGATGATGCCATGCCAGCCAGCCATCCTTACTAAAAGAGTCCTGCTTTAAGTGATATATCCAACAGGCTCAGTAAGATGATAAAGCAAACATGACCCACCACAAGCACACAAAACCTGGCAGTCTGGGAGAGCAGTCACTCACTACTAGCTCCCCCGTAACTCAGCATGTGAAAATGAGGACTAAAATACCAAACTCCACACACTTTAAAAATAAACCTGAGCCAGTCTCCCTGGGACCAAGTTTATGCTGCAGTACATGGTAAGTTGCTTGACAACAGAAGACAGGATATTCTGGCACCAATGAAATCAAAACCAGATATCCATATCACTCAAGGCTTGATGTTTACCAGGTTTTCAGTTTGCCTGAAGGGTACCTGGGCAAGGGTACCCAGAATTTAACTTGGCAAGTCCCTACTTGCTCAGTCCCAGGATAACAACATCCTATATCCTGCTGGGGTCCCTTTCTTTTGTTGGTCTCAAGCCCAATGAGGGCTTCTCAAATAACTACCATTCTGCCTTGGACTTTCTCCAATTACATGAACCCAAGGTGTCTAAAGAAGGACCTTAGAGTGAACTGTTTGTGCTCAGTGCTCCAGAGAAGCAGATGGGAAGGAGGGTAAATGAATACATATACAGCAGGTCCTAAAATAACTTCATCTCCTTCGACATATTTTCATTATAACATTGATAAGACGCCATAGGAATTTAACTATTTTTTTGTATCAATTAGCTTAAGGTTGAAATTGGTATCGTTATACATTGTTTCACTTAAAGTCACAGAGTCTATTGATAATGTTAAGTGAGGACTTACTATAATTGTGGTTCAAAACTGGCCACCTGTTCTGGGATGCTTCGGGAGACAAAACAACAAAGCCTCAGCTACACTGAGGAAAATCCCCAAGTGGCAGGGACAAACGCATGCTCTACAACTGGCACCAAGAAGCAAAACATCTTGTTTGTACCCAGAATTCAGCCAGTGGCTTTACTGATAACATTTGTGTTTTCTAGCAGGCACTGAAGAATACACAGGAAGCAGTAAAGAACTTCTGACCAAATCTTAGTTTATGGCTCCTTCTGAGGTTTGAGTAATATTAGTTTGATCAGTAATTGCTTAAGCCCAAAGAATAATATTTCTGCCCACATATATGCTGTTCTTGTTAGCCAAATGATAGGAGATTGTAAAGTGGGAGGTCCTCAACCTGGGTTTCATGGATGAGCGTTAGTGGGATCCATGAAATCATTTGTGTGTGTGTGTGTGTGTGTGTGTGTGTGACTGAGAGGTGCTTCATGCAGATGTGGGTATGTGAATGTGTATGCATTTGTGGGGTTAGCTGGGGAATATGTACACATGTATGTATTGGATGTATATATGCAAGGTATGTATGGGGCATGTGTGTCCATGTGGGTATATGAGTAGGAGATCTGTATATAGATGTGCAAGCAGAGATATGGTGTGTGTGTGTGTGTGTGTGTGTGTGTGTAATATTTGTATATGTGTGGGGCGGGGAGGTGTGGATGTGTAGGTATCAGTGTTTATTTGTAGGAAGGGGGAATATTGGTTTGTGTTTATGTATGGAAGATGAGGGACATATGTGTGTATGTGGATATTGGATGAATGTGGAAGTGGGGGATATGAGTATGTGTGGAAGAAATATTTACGTACATTTAAGGTATATATGCATGAGGTTTGTGAGTGGATGTGCAGGATATGGACCTTTGTGTAGAGCATACATATGGATATAGATATGTATGTGGAGGGAACAATATATGAGAATGTTTGTGTATATGTGAATGAGGTGAGAGAAATCTGTGTAGTGTGGGGTAGAGATATGGGATGTATAGGTATATATGGGCAAGTGAACATGTGTGTGTGTGAGAGACTATATGTGTGGAGTGTATATGGAGTGCTGGGGAAATGTGTGTGTATGTGAGGAAGTCTATATGGATATGTGAGTGTGCTTGTGGGAGGATGAATGAGAAATCACCATATGCATGGGGGTGAATGAGACAGTGTGCATGTATGAACATGTGAGGGTATGTGGGTATGTGGATATGTGATTGCTAGAAGGAATTCCTGTGTATGTGCAGGGTGTTTAGAGATTGTGGGTGGGTAGTGATGAGGATAGGACAAGAGACAATTAATGGGCTCTATAAGACTCAGTCAAGCAAAAGTCTGGAAGCAGAGACCTGGCTTAAGACCTAACAGAAAGTGTGAAATTTGAATTGAATTTCCAGTAGGAACTAAACATCCAGGAAAGGGCCTGGAGACATAGGGAAGTTCCCATTACTTGGGTAGGGGTAATGGAATAACAGCATTTTTACTATGGTCACTAGCACCAGCTAGGAAACCAAAGCCACCTCTTCTTAACTCCCCAGCATTCTTTCCTCCCTCTTTGAGAACCCAGGCTTCCTTATAGACACCTATCAGGGAACCATACCTAGCACCCCAACCCGATAGTTGAGGGTGATGACGATGACGTTGCCATAACTGGCGAGGACGCTGCCATCAATCATGTTGCCTGTCCCTTCCATGTAAGAGCCTCCATGGATGTAGACCATGACGGGCTTAGCACCACTGTCCCGGATGTCTGTAAGAAGAAGGGGTGAGACACAGGCTGGGTAGGATGCCCTTCCTCCCCCACCCCCACCAGCCCTGTGTGGGGGGGTGCAGGTAGCAAAGCTATCCCAGGTGCCAGGACACCACCACCATCTCTGAGGGCAGGACTCATGGGGCTGCTCAGCCTGGAGCTCAAGCATCAGCCAGAGACACTTGGACTTCAGTGATGTTTTTAAAGAATCTGGTTTCAAGTGCCTCCCAGCAGCCCTGATACAGCTAGGCCTAGGTAGGCCTGGAGGCAGGGGAGGGGAAAGCAGAAGGAAGAGAAGGGCTGGTCCCTTGGCTGCATCTAGTGAGTCCTTCCCTGGACACCTGAGTCCTGGGACCTGATATGGCTTTAGAGAACAAGGGCTGGGAGCCCTGGAACCCCCAAAACTAGACCAGTTCCATAGAAATACAGCCATTGGCAGCAGCTTCCCCCCTCCCCCAGTGCAGACAGAGACAAGAGGTGTGGGAAGGGGTAGCACAGGGAGAGAACAAGGAAGAATGTGGGGAAAGGGGAGTGAATGGCAGAGATGGGATAGGGGACCCTTAGTGACATGGTTTCTCAGCCATGTGATCATTTACCCCATTCTCCTAGGACATCAGTCAGATTTATCTGGAGCCACTGGGGAGGTGGAAGAGGAAAGAATAGAACTAAGACAGAAATCTGGCCCCGGTCAGCATTAGGATGAAGATGGAGCCTCTCAGAGGCTATACAATAAGGGAACTTAAAGTGGTTGCTCCCCAGTATCAGCGGACAGGGACAGGGATGGGATGGGCATTCAGGAGGAGGCTCCCAGCCTGATCACTTCTACCTGCAGCCTCTCAACACTCAGCCACACCAGCACAGTCCTAGCAGCCACCAAGAGGCCCCCTGAACTGCCTGGCCCCTCCAGGGGTGAGGGGGCAAGGTCACGGAGGTAGAAGGGAAAGCTCTTTGCTGCTGAGCAAACTCACCCTGTTTTTCCAAGGAGGAAGAAAGACTGGTTCAACCATCACTCAAGGATCTTATACCATCTACTAACTGAGCTGTGGTGTCCCGGCCTCAGCCTGGAGCTTTAACTCCCAGTCCTTCTGCTAAGAGAAGCCTGGGGAGGTTCTAGCTGGAGCTATTCTCCATTCTCTTTGGTTGTCACTGCCTCACTCCTCTGTTCAACATCCTGCTGGGCCCCTCTCCCAGGAGCCAGTCTCCCCACAACACAGGCGTCTCTTCATGCTCCCTCAGCCCTGCTTTCTCTCCACTCTCCCTGCTGCTTAGTAGGGGCAGGTGCCCATGAATCACAGAAGATGAGGAGGAAGCTTACTACTATAGGACTGAGAATGGGTGGAGATCCGGGGTGAGGATGCCCTCCCCATGGCTCTGCTTGTCGTCCCCTGCTCCCACCAGCATGTCCATCACCCTGGAATTCGCAATGGCCAACCAGGCCAAAGATGGATGAACAGCCTAATGGCCTTGTACAGAAACAGAAACACACCAATGGACGGACAGACAGACAGACGGGGCTTCTCCCCATTGAGAGGGGGAGGGGCTCTGTGCCATGCACCAGCTGCCACGCCCTGCAGCCCCCAAATACCTTCATCTTCATCCCCGTCATTATCCGCTAAGTCCTCGCCCTGTTTCTTAGCGCCGGATCCTGGGGACCAGACACGGGGAGACACAACAGCACAGAACAGAGAACAAAACAGAGAGAGAATTCAAAAACAGCATGACTGCAGTGTGGCCCAGCAAGCCAGCTCTGGGCCTGGGCCCAGGACAGGCAGGACGGATGGCAAGAACTGAGGGAATGGGTGGGCTGAAGCCCAGACTTTCATCAGGAAGATGGTGTTGCAGACCCCTGCTGTGCTGGCCTCCCTGCACCTCCCTGCCCCGCCTCCCTGTCCCAACAGCCCATCTCAACCAACTACCTTCCAATTAGGAAGGAGATAGCAGCAGGTGGACCAAGGCACAGAGCCAGAGAGCCACTCAGGGAAGGGATTTCTTCCATCTGAAAGGGGCTGTGAGTGTACACCCAGGCAGGCTGAGCTGGAGAGCAGGGCAGGCACTAAGTGTGAGAGGCAGCATTGCCAGCATGTGTGGATGTGGATGTGGATGTGAGCTATTTGGGCAGAGAAAGGTACCAGGGACCCCAGCCCTGGGCTCCTTGGGACCAGTAAGCAAGCACAAGCTGGGCCTCAGCTCATCTTGATTCCCACGGGAGAAAATGGGACATGAAGCTGTCCCTCTGGTCTTCATTGTTGGGACCTCCTGCTCTGGTTAATGGCAAATGAGGTTCCTGCTCATAGGAACTAGGCCTGAGAATAGCAAGCTTTGCTCTGAGATCTAGAGAGAGCCTGAGGAGGGAGAGGAGGAAAGAAACCGGGAGAAATCGGGGTAGGGTAGGGGGAGGAGGAGAGGGAGGGAGATAGAAAGAGAGAGAGAAGCAGAGGGAGGGAAACACAGACACAGACAGAGAGAAGCAGAGAGAGAAGTAGAGAAAGAAATATAGGGAGGGAGATAGAAACAGAGAGAGAATCAGAGGGAGGGAAACACAGACACAGACAGCGAGAAGCAGAGAGAGAAGTAGAGAGAGAAATATAGGGAGGGAGATAGAAACAGAGAGAATCAGAGGGAGGGAAACACAGACACAGACAGAGAGAAGCAGAGAGAGAAGTAGAGAGAGAAATATAGGGAGGGAGATAGAAAGAGAGAGAGAAGCAGAGGGAGGGAAACACAGACACAGACAGAGAGAAGCAGAGAGAGAAGTAGAGAGAGAAATATAGAGAGGGAGGAAAGGAAGCAGGGAGGGAGGGAGGGAAAGAAAGAAACAGAGAAAGAGAAACCAAGAAACAGAAGCAGAGAGAGAAACAGAGGAAGGGAAGGAGGGAAACAGATAGGAATAATGCTAATAACTCCTACTGTGTACTATGTACTGAATATTTATCATGTCAGAGACTTCACTTCTGCCATATAGTTTCATCCTTACACCCCAATGAGGCGGGTACTATCTTTATTCCTGTTTTACTGATGGGGAAACTGGGGTTCAGAGGGGTAAGGTGACTTGCTCAAGATGATATAGCTAGAAAGTGCTAGAGGTGAGATTCAATCCCAGGTATACTTGACTCTGGAACCCATGGTCTTTCCACTGCACCATGCCATCTTTTTGGGATAGGGGAAAAGGAGGGAAAATAAATGAGAAAAGAGGTGGAACATGGAGGGGAAGGGAGAGATGGGAAGGAAAGAAAAGAAGAGACCAGAGGAGAGAAGAGAGACATTTAAGACCTGGGGGTAAGCTGGCACCAACTCTTCTTCCTGTTTGGCTGTGGGAAAAGGAGACCTAGTGCCTGGATGCTGGGCAGCGTGTAGAAACAGAGGTCATTCTGCTGGCACCCGGCACTAACTTCTCTAGGACACCAGATACTCTCAGCCTGGAGGCAGCAAATAGCCTTCTTTCTCAGCTGGCCTGGGCTCCGGTGACTGAATTTCCTTACAGCCATTAATCAAAACAGAAACAACCCTCATAATACAAAATGGCTTTTCAACTAGGGCAAGAGCCCAGCTCAATGGATAGAAACCACCTCCAACTTCCCAAACTTTCAGTGTGTCTACTGTCTTAATACCTACCATTACTGCCCCACAGAGATCCTGTGGGGATTGGGGCTTCATTATCCACATAGTGGACAGAAAGGACTCACTCATCCCTAAACATGAATTCCCTCCAACTTGATCTGGGTTGGGGTGAAGATGGGGCTGGTCTTACCAGAAAATCCTTTACTTCCCATGTGCCCTGACTTAGAAGATGCATCCCTCCCCGACTGGTGGGAGTATTCCTGGGTGCTGCACTGTCTCAGCTTCCTCAATCTGCCCTTGCTTCTTCAGCTTTCTGCTTGCTGAGCTATTCCTTACTGCCATGCCTGTCACCCAGGCCAGCTTAACCACCATCCCCCATCTTGAGGGTGGGGGATCCCGGCTACAGGATCCCGGCCAGGTCAGCCCTGCCTACCCTAAGCGCACAACCCTAATCACCTCTGTGGATGAGTCTCCTCCAAATGGGCTCTGAATAGGGAACTACTTTGAACAGTTAAATGACTAAAAGACCTACCCTCCAATTGTCTGAAAATCCACTTCCCAGGTTAACCTGTGGATCCTGGCTAAACCAGCTGAGACTAAATACTAGGCTAGGAGCTTCTTCAGAGTGGCAATCAGACCTTTATTTATTTCTAAATATTTCCTCTGCCTCATTTTTATCTCTGCACATCCCAACAAGGCCAACCTAGCACTTGGCCTTGCCCACAGTCAACTATTATGATCAGAATATGTATCTGAATGGAACTATAAGCCAGGTCTCCAGTCAAGCTTTCAGGACTGGACTGTCTTAGGCCCTTACTGGTGCTCTGGGGAGGTCATTCCTTTTAGGAAATGGTTAATTTTTAGATCATTTCCTCTCCCTCCCACCAAAGTAAGTAACTCAAAGGAGCAAGTTTAAGAGACCCTCTTTGTCTAGTTGGAATGGCTCAGTGATTGAGCATCAGCCTATGAACCAGGAGGTCACGGTTCGATTCCCAATCAGGGCACATGCCCAGGTTGCGGGCTCAGTCCCCAGTGTGGGACATGCAGGAGGCAGCTGATCAATGATTCTCTCATCACTGATGTTTCTATCTCCCCCTCCCTCTCTGAAATCAATTATACTAAATCAAATATACTAAAGAGACCCTCTTCTTGAGTTCATCGATAGGCTAATGGAATGTTAAGGACAGTACCAGTCCCCCACCACCTACACAAGTGCAAACAGAGGTCCTTAAAGGAAAATATACCTAAGGTCTCACTGTGTGTTAGCAGCAGAGCTGTGACTGGTCAGGCTTTGTGGCTCCCAGACCTGTACTCTTGCTGCAGCACCACAATGCTTCTTCGTTCGTGAAAAAAAAAAAAGTGTTTACTGATAGCCTACTGCTTATAGGGTCCTGGGCTAGGAGTAGAGATATGGTGGAAAACTCCCCCGAAGCAGTACACATGCCCATTGTGGAGATCCTGGGCTCTGCTCCCTGATGTTCTCACTCAGCAGGGAATACCCAGTCCAGGAATCCTGAAGACCCCACTTGGGGGGAACCTTGCTTTAGGATTTCAAAGAAACACAAACTCCAAGTTTGCAAAAGGGTTGTAGGAATTAGGCTGATTTTCTACCAGTTCTTAGGCTGTTACTGTTTCTAGTTTAGCCCAACCTGTCCACACTTTACCAGTTTTCAGAATTGGGGAGGCGGGAATGACTAGATGGGAGTTGAGTTGGCTCGCGTGCTACAGTGGAAAGAACAAGTCCTGAGGGTCAAGGGACCCAGATTTTGTTCCCAGCTCTGCCACAGACAGTAAGTCACTTCCCTGGGCCTGTTTTCTCATCCATAAAATTGGGATACCAATTCCCTCCTTAGAAGCTTCCAGAGATATAGGGAAGATTTTATGAGGTAAGTATGAAAGTTCTTTACGGAAAACATAAAGTGCTACTCGAACATGAAGAATTGTTATATAGGGGGAACCAATTCCTCCCAGCAAGAGGGTCAATTTAAAACACAGGGTCTCATGCCTCCTTTAGAGTCCATAGTTCCAGGAGGAACCCCTCACCCCAAGTCTGCCACAAGACCAGCCCAGGTCACTTAGCTATGCTCTGGCCAAAGGTGGGGAGTCGGGTGGCAGGATTCCTAAGCCTGTGCACCAGTTTGGTCTCAGCTTCAGCGCTGGAGAGTTAAGTCTAGACTATCAATCCAGGAAGGAACTCAGAGGGGTGAGCCTATGGGCCCCTAACCAGGAAAAGGCAGTGCCTCTGGTTCCACTTTGACTGCCTTGAGTTCTCCTGAGGTGGCCAGAGAGAACCACTGGCTCTGTCTTTAGCACGCACTTAAGGGTGGAATTGAGGCCTGAGAAGATCAGAAGAAACGAGATTGCTGCTTTTGCTCTGAATCTGCCTTAGGCCTCCAAATCCTCCCTGAAAATGCAGCCAGGGCCCTTGGATGAGGTGGAGCTTTGTCTGCTCACCACCTGCCCCCTGAGCCTGGGCTACTTGAAGGAAGCCAGGGTCCTCAGGGGTAAGGGCAGGTGGGCAGGCAGCCCTCCCTCTCTCTCTCTCTCTTTCTCTCTCTCCCTCCCCGCCGGCTCGCTACCTACCTCCTTTCCTACAAATTTTCTTGTTGGGCTTTCGGGCGCATTCCTTGGAAATCCGCTTTACTGTAAAATGAATAAAAAACTAAAAAATAACAGGAGGCCTTTGCCAAGGGGCATGCACCCTCCGCCCCCAGATCCCAAGAGCTGCTCTGCAGGTGGCACATGGCAGAGAGCCTCTCCCACCACCTCTTTGTTTCTGTCACTTACCTTAGTGTGACCCCCGCAGGAGGAGGCACTAGCTAGTAAAAGAGGAGGCACCTAAGTAGTGCCCACCAGGCTTGTCCCCTCACCCCCCCGCCACCCCCAACACCTAGCTCCTTTGGCTACACACAACTTCCACCTTCCAAAGCAGCTGGAATGGCAACGGGAGGCCTGGTGGGGCCAGCATCCTCCCGCGGGCAGCTGCCGGCAGTGACCCATACTCCCCCAGGGAACCCCCCATCCAGCATTCTGACCCTAGACTTGTCAGAGCTCTCAGGCCTGGCCAGGCCCTCCTGGTAACAGTGTCACTCACACAAGGAAGCTCAGACGATGCTGGGAGAGCAAAGAACAGGGAGGAGGAAGGGGGATGCCAAGCAGAGTGATGGTTAGACAGACAGAGGCATGCTGGAGGGCACACAACCACATGCAAGCCTCAAACACAACAGGGCGGGTGAAGGCAGGGAAGGCACAGTGCCTGGCCACAGCACTCACCATCCTCCGTGGGCACATAGACATTCAGGTAGAGGCAATCTTCATTGGGCTCCTGGATGTAAGTGGCGACGATATCCAAGTTGGCAGTGAACCAGACAGGCAGCATGACTTCGGGCACAGCTGTGTGAATGTTCTGGGGGCACACTGGGGGGAAGTGTGTGGCGTTCCGGATGCCCGACCAAGATGGAGGTGGCTCAGGGGGCAGGAACCGTTTCTCGCCGATCGGAGGAGCTGCGTAGGGCACCCCCAGGTATTGGTCCACAGGCCCCAGGATCTCACTGGGCAGTGGTACCCGGGCACCCCTTAGCTTTCCAAAGTGAGTATTGACTGTGGGCGCTGGGGCCTGTGTACTAGCCCTCAGCACCAAGCCAAGGAACCACAGGGTGAGGCACAGGCTCCCGCCAACTGTGGGCTTGGGGCTCGGGGACAGCCAGGGCAGGCCAAACTGCAGCCACATGTTCTGGGCAGGGGGACTGGCAGGAAAGGCAGATTCCAGGGTCACAGCATCAGCCCAATAGGCAGCCCCTTCATGGCCACACTGACTTGAACCTCAAAACTGAGCTCTTGAGGGACACCTACAGGTGCTGGCCACGTAGAGAGCAGGTCATCCAAGCACCACAGCTTCAGAAAGGAGACGCCCTCAGGGCCAGACAGGCCTGTGGAAAGAGGGAAGCATTCGTCATCCGATACAGCGGGGAAGGCTATGGAGTGGGTTTGGGGGGCCCTGCTGGGCTCAGGCTATTCTCCTAGTTAGGAGAAGTTTCACGTGCCCAAGGGCTGAGAGACCCATAGATGATCCCCACTGGCAAGCTGAACCATTCTATGTGCCCGGCCACGGTTGGGAAACCCAAGGGGATTGACAGAATGACAGTGGTTGCCGCTCCAAATTCCCAAACCCCAACTTGAACTCAGCTAGTGGAGCTCCTGAGGGCCAGCTGGAGCCAGAGTAGCATGTGGTGGCAGAGGTGAGACTGGAACTAGAGCCAGGTCCCTGGCATGCTGCAGGAACACGGAGCTCTCTAGCCCCAGGACTGGAAAGCCCACACAGGGACCTCTGCCTCAGGGGACAGGACTGTGAACCTCACTCTGGGACTCTCGCGTAAGAAGGGAAAGCAGCAAACAGTCAATGGGTCCCACAGAGATACCCTTCATGCTCGGGTGGGGCAGGGGCAAGGATAGGGGCAGGAGAGCCATTTCTCAAAGTTCCCAGAACCTCCAGTGCCCTTCTGTACGTTTCTCTCAGCCCTAACTGCTCCCAAATCCTTATGCCTTGATCATCTCTGTCAGCTAGCTCTATGTCACATGGAATGTCAGAACTAAGGCAGAAACCCTTCTGCCTAGCACCCAAGGCATTGTTGATGCTCAGCCAGTGGAAAACAAACAGAGGAGTGTGGGGAGCACACTCTCAGAGACTCACACTTTGAGACTCACAAAGTCTCAAAGAGGAAGTAAGAGAGACCAAGCCAGATAATAATACTATAATATTCACTCACAAAGACATACATTCCAAACCCACAGAGATTCCCTCATATAGTGCCACATTCTGAGACAGAGAGTGCCACCCAGCCAGAGACTTACTAAGATACAATCACACACACTACTCAGGTAAACATCCAGACACATGCAGCATGACGGTGACACATAGGTAGAGACAGAAACAGGAATAGCAACACAATTGCCACAGGCCTTCTGACACACAGGTACAGTCCACACATATCCACAGGTACACACAGACACTCGTGCATGGACACACACACACACACACACACACACACAAAATTTTCTTTTCCCCTCATTTCTCCCAATTTCCAAGATTGCGGGCCTTCTCCTTTAAGACTTTCAGAACTGCCTGAAGGGGTGGGGGAGGGGGATTGGGAACGCCCAGCCATTCGCCACCTCCCACCTCCGAGAGGGGGGAGAGAGAGAGAGAGAGAGAGAGAGAGAGAGAGAGAGAGAGAGAGAGAGAGAAGAAGGTGGGTGGAGGGAGGGGGCTCAGACGAAATGGGGAGCAAAATATGGGGGGTTATGTTCCAGCCACTGCCCATAATGACCCAGGGTGGGGGAGGAGGGGCAGGAGAGAAAGAAGGGGTAGGAGTAGGGAGGTGGAGCAGGAGCAAGTGTGTGTGTGTGTGTGTGTGTGTGTGTGTGTGTAGGGGGGGTATAGTCCACAGCTGAGTTCACACAATCCCCCCATTCACTGTCTCCATGGCAACTCTGGGGCACAGACCGCTCATTCACACTGCTTCCCCACCAGCACCCACCCCCAGGATTAACCCTCTCGGTGCCGCCCCTCCCCACAAATTCCATTAACCCTTTTGGGATGCTTCCCTCTCCAGTACCCCTTTGGTGCCAAATGCTGGTCCCCTTTGAGTCAATTCCCTGCAGTCCCTCTCCCCCGTGAACACTTAGACAAATCGACCCCCAAATGCCCTCTGTACCCTAAAACCCACGGTAAGTCCCCAAGGCCAAGATCTTCATCCTGGTCCAACTTCCAATTTGGAAGAAGACAAGGAGAGGTGGCAATGCCAGGGATTAGAATGGCATCTGGGGGTACTTTTATGCTGGAGCAGTATTGGGTGAGGGGCATTGTACAGGAATGCACTGGTATTGTAAACCACAGGATTGGGGGCTATGAGGGCTCGGAAGGGAATTAAAGGATGGAGCTGCATTGGAATGGGGAGGATAGGATAAAGGCCTCTATTAGGAGGGGGGCTGCAGAGTGGGGGAGGGAGCCCGGCTGTGAGATGCTATGATGGAAGAGGGATGGGGTTGCACTGCGGGGGTGGGGGGTGGCAATGTGCATTATAAGAATGGGGTTGGGGGCCCTCAGTAGGGGTATTTTGATGAGCATTCGGGCGGGTTGTGGAAATAGAGGGACCATGGACTGGGCGATGACAGGGATGTGAGCTTCAGAGAAGAGGTGAAGGAGAGGAGTGGGGGGAGGATTGGGGTGTCAGGGTTGCCTATGATAGAAAACATGGGGTTGAGGATGGGGAGCACTGGCTGGGGAGTGGAGGAGCCCGGTTGGGAGGGGATAGGATAGGGCAAGGTATGGACAGCTAAAGAATGAGAGACCGGGGCAGTCGGCCTCACCTGTTCCCCTGGCTGTTGCAAGCGACTGAACCGGGCCTCGGACCACCCATATCGCCTCCAGGCCAAGGGCTCCGCACCCGAATCCCCGAGATCTGCTCTCTGGCTGCTTGGCTGCTGTGCCCGCGCACCAAGGGGGCGCGCTGCGCGTGCCCGGACACGGGGGGGCGTGGTCCCTGCCATTAACTCCTTTTGTGCCAGAGATGGCTCAAGTACTGGGGCATGGCCCAATTCCTCCCGATCAGGCACACACTGCTCATGAAATCCCTCTTCCTCGCACACACCCCCTTTGTCCCCAACATGAAATCTCCCAGGGCAGCTAGTCCAGACTTTACCTGCAAAGCTCGAGAACTTGAAACGGTGGTAGAAACTGAGGCACTGCTTGCAGGAAACCCCAGTCATACTCCATGGACAGGCCTCCACCTCAGCATCCCTCACCTCTCAGCACCAGCACTATTCAAGTAGCACCAGTGAGGGGCACTTTGCTCTCATCCTGTCCCTCTCAAAGGTCATTGATGGTCTTTTTTTGCTGCTTGTGCGGAGCAGGTCAGCCTCAGATTGCCAGGGTCTCTCCTCTCTAGATCCAGCTTTGTGTTCCTGTATGTAGCGCACCTGTCCAGTTTATTTAGTCCCTGTACCCAAAGCCCCCCTGAGTGTCCCTTATCCCAGCCATCTCTACTCCTGTATCTCTTTAGAACAGTGGTCGCCAACCTTTCGGACCTCACGGGACACCAGTAGTGATCCGTGGACCGCTTTAGAATGTTCAGCAGAAGCTTCAGTCATGTTTGTTTTTGCCCTATCAGAGAGTTCCATTCCTTGAGCACAAAACTCTTAAGTGCCATACTTTGCGGACCTTCAAGAGGGAGTTCATTTTTAAAAAATATATATTTTATTGATTTTTTACAGAAAGGGAGAGAGATAGCTAGAAACGTCTATGAGAAACATCGTCCACCTGCCTCTTGCACACCCCCTACCGGGGATGTGCCCACAACCAATATACATGCCCTTGACCGGAATCGAACCTGGGACCTTTCAGTCCGCAGATCGACGGTCTACCACTGAGCCAAACCGGTTTCGGCGGGAGTTCATTTTTTTATATTTTACAACTTGGGTATGGATTGGTGCTCCTGGTTTTACCAGCACACTCGACACTTGCCAGTGATACAGTGCAAATATGACCTGGATGTTATCCTGAAATCATCAAATCATCTTGTACTGCCCACCCACACAGAAAGGGCTAGTCCTCTTCTAGCCCCAGGTGGGCACACCAGGGGACTCCATTGTAGTAAACCAGTTGACTCTCCCGGATGGCATTTGATCTAGGGCCCTAAAACTGAAAGCAAGGGGCCTGGCCCCTATGGCGCAGTGGTTGAGCATCGATCTATAAATCAGGAAGTCCTGGTTCAATTCCTGGTCAGGGCACATGCCTGGGCTGTGGGTTCGATCGCCAGTGTAGGAAGCAGCTGACCAACAAGTGATTCTCTCTCATCGTTGATGTTTCTATCCCTCTCTCCTTCTCCCTACCTCTCTGAAATCAATAAAAATGTATTTAAACAAACCTGAAGGCAAAGGGGCTGAGAATGGCCCTGCATAGTATCAATTGAGACTCTGCAGCAGATTTTATATCTACTTTAAAACGGGAGTGACCAACAGTTACCCTGGGTAATGGCCAAGGTGAGTAGTGTAAAAGCAAGCAGTTCCAGCAACAGAGCAAAGAAAAGGGTGCTTCTTTTTACTGGTGTCTCTTCCTCCTGGAACCACGCCAGACTTCAGCCACCTATTCAAAGGTGACACTTGCTAATGCAGAGCAATTTTTCATCCCCAAAATGTGAATCTCAAGGGAGATTTCTGTCGAGGATACCACTTGGCACATGATGGAGATCACAAAAAAGTGGCAAAATGTGTAGGCAGTGTCTGTCACCCCCTCCACCACTTTGAAGCTTGTTCAAAACTCAGCATGTGGATGAGTGGAAGGAGAGTCAGGTTCCATTGATTTTTTTCCCCCCTCTGGCCCCTTCCCAATCCCAATGGTACATCCACCATGAAGGAAAGTTACCCAGAAGCTGTATCATCTAGCTGAGAACATAAGCTGCCCTTCTTAAGAGACTAAGGACTCAAACCTTAATATGTTGCCAGGATGGAGAAGTAAAGAGAGGGTAGCAATCCAATTCAACTGAGAAATTTAGGGGAGAGAAAGTAAACAGGGGAGATGATCTGAACAGAATAAAGGCTCTAACTTGTCCATCCAGCCTCCACTACTCTCCCAAGGGCCCGCCCTTCCCAGATATGCAAAACTCACACGTGCCCTTTGCAAAGAAGCTCTGTGTATTGGGTACAACAGCTCTGGGGTCTCAATATAAATAATATACAAAACCCAACAGCTTAATGCCTTACATTAACAAAAATACTAAAAACTCATTAAAAATGGAGCCTGAGGGAAGAGCCCCAACCATTACTGGTGTTAGCCCAGGAAGGGGAATTGAGAATTCAGAGAAAAGGATGTGGCCACATCCAGTCACAAGCAGCTCCTCCAGATGGCTCAGTAGCGTCCAAATATGTTGGTATTGGGCTGTGGCTGGGTATCTGTGAAAAACCAGAGAGGATCAGGGGTGGGATGCCAAGCAGGGTTGTAGATATGCATGGGAAGAGCTACTCAGGTGCCAAGGAAAGGGATGTAATATAATGCTTGCCCCCACAATATGGGCTATTAGAAGCAATGGCCTAGGTACTTGCCCCTTCCCGCCCCCAATTTATTTCACGGGACTTTCCTGGGAAGGAAGGAAGGCTTACTGGAGAGCTGTTGTTGGAGCTGCCGCACCAAGGCTGCTGTCTGTTGCTGTTGCTGGGTCTGCTGAAGCCCCTGGCGCTGGAACTGAGGTGGAAATTGGAAGACTGAACTCAAACTCTCTACTCGGAATCTTCCACATCCTTCTCTATCCCCATCTCCCCATCCCTTTTTCAGTGTGCCATGCCTTGCCGCCTCCTTCTACCACATGGCACACTGTCCCCAACCTGGTTCACTGGCTGCATGCCCAACCTGGGCAGCTGTCCCTGAGGCGGGGCTGGAGTCCAGCAGCTACCTGGGGCTGGGACTGGGGCTGGGGCTGGGGAGGAGCCGCTGCCTGTTGCTGCTGCTGCTGCTGCTGCTGTTGCTGCTGCTGCTGCTGTTGCTGCTGCTGGTGTGCTTGTTGTTGCTGCTGCTGTTGCTGCTGCTGTTGCTGCTGCTGTTGCTATGAGAACGTAAGAGATATTGCTAAGGAGAGCAAGCATCTGAGCCCAGGCATGGAGGGATAGGGACAGGGGAAGAGGCAGCAGGGAGGAAACTGGGTTCAGTGCCCTCCTTCCTCAGAGAGCTGCAGAGAAAGATACCCAATCCAGAGTCCTCAGTAGACAACCCCCAACTCTCTCCCAATAGGACCCCCACAAAACCAAAGTGGGCATAAGGGGAAACTAACTCCCTAAGATCCTACTGCATGCCAGCCACTCTGCCAGGCGCTTTCTGTGTACTGCCTCAGTTAGTCTTGATAACAACGAGGAGGAGCCTGGGCTTCTCCTCCTCCTTGGGTTCCCAGGTCCCCTATGAACTCCTGGGCCTTACCCGTAGGATTTGCTGCTGCTGCTGCTGCTGCCGGATGTGGTACTGTTGCTGCTGCTGCTGCTGCTGCTGCTGCTGCTGCTGTTGCTGCTGCTGCTGCTGCTGTGGCGGCGGCTGCTGCTGCTGCTGCTGCTGCGGCGGCGGCTGCTGCTGCTGTTGTTCAGGCAGGATGGCAGCTGATCGGACAGCAGCCTGGACACCCTGAGTGCTCAGTGGTGTCAGGGTACCTATCATGGGTGCTTGCTGCAGTGTCTGGTGTGAAAACCTACAAAGAGAGGTCCAGAGATCAAGGCATGGGGCAGGGAGAGAGGTGAAAGAAAAGCCCCAGGTCCTGACCCCAAAGACACTTCAGTCATTTCATTTGTTCCTCCTGTCGCTAATCAGAAGAGCCATTTGGGTCCTGGCAGCTTTTTAAGTAGGGGAGAAAGGGGAAAAGACAATACCCCATCTCAGTGTCTCATAACCTTCATGGCTAGGAATTTTTCAATTCTGCTTTAGCTATTTTTTCTCTTAGAACAATGAAAAAAAATCTTAGCATAGGATAGGCATTTTGTTAACACTTTGTAAGGCTTTTGTTGTCAGTGGTAATCCCCAATAACATTTCAGGGGCTTAAAGACAATTGAGTCCTACTGCTCCTTCCACTTTCCTTACCCCAATCTGCACATCACCACACCAGGCTACTGACCAGGTCCCGTCTCAAGTCTTCTCGCACTGTCTCTATGCATCCTATGCAAGCATTCCATATTAATCTCTAGACATGTCCAACTGGTCATGTCACTTTCCAGGTCCAAAGAGCTCTTTCTGGAATTGTGTCTCAGTTCTGCACTGAGCAGTCAAGGTCCTCTTCAACCTGCCCACTCCTAGCCTATCCCTTACTTTCCCGACACCAATTTTACCTCCATCCAAGTTCTTCTCCTACCTGTCCTCAGCCACTCTCCTCATTTGGCTCCCATGTTTGTTCGTGCTATGCCCTCTATCTGGAATCCCCTTCCTTCTCCTCCTCTCCACAAATCCAAATCATATCCATCCTTCAACACAAGTCCAATCTCCTTTGTGACACTTCCTCTGACGACTCAGGCCCACAATGACAGTACCATGCACCTTTTCTGGATTCCCACTTTACTTCACAGCACACAACGGCACGTCTGGCTATGATTTTCCTCAGTGTTCTCTAAATGTTCTTCTGGGTAAGTCTCATCTCCTCAACTAGAGTAACAATTCTTTGTGGTGAGGGACTTCATAGTTTAAAAAAAAAAAATAACTTTCCTCACTCCAACCAGTCCTAGTAGTGCTGGCCACACAGTGAGCAGTTATTACTTCTCAGTAAAGGACCCTAAGCTATAAACCTTCAGGACACAATAACAATGTCTTAACTTAGGCCTAACTAATGTTCAGAATAGTGAGAGGATAAGTTCATTAGTCCACTCCAGAGTTAAGACTGTTCTAACACTGGCTTTATGCCAACTTATCATACAGTGCATTGATGAACCCTAGACTTGCCCTTACTATAGTCATAGAAATAATTTTCCTTCTCTGGGCCGCAAAGAAATATAGAGAAGCAGGTGTGGGACTACTGGTTGCCAGGATCCCTTCCAGCTCTGGCATTTTTGTAGCAACTGGTTATGTGGCCAGATAAGTGTTCTTTCCACCTCCAGAAGTGGAAGGACTGATTAGTCCCATCACCCCAGGCACGTTTTTCCAAATCAAATGTGCTTCTGTACCTCAGTGCCTTTCCAAGCCCGACTCTCTTGGGTACCTTTGAGTGGAAGTTAGCCCATGTCCGTAGGTAGGGGCCTGCTGGTGCACATAGCCACTGGGCCGCTGTTGCAGGTGGCGAGTGGGATCTACAAGAGTAGGATTGGTAGAAGGGTGGGTGCTCTGATAAGGCTGGCTGGAGTAGCTGGGGGGTACCATGGTACCTGCGGGGCCTGTGTGTTGCTGCAATCCCACATGAGAAACATAAGGAGTATATCCCTGGATGAAAGGAGGAGAGAGTCAGGACCAAGAGCGTGCAGAGCAACTTGCCTCAAGCTCCCTAATTCTCACCATCTTGTGCCCTTACCTGGGAGGTCTGCAAACCGTAGGAAGAACTAGTAGTCATTTGGTGGACAGATGACTGGCCCAACATCCCCTGACTCTGCTAAAAGGGAAAAAGGGGACAAATAAATTTATTTACTTATTTATTTATTTAAAATATACTTTATTGATTTTTTAAAATATA